CCTCAGTATAACAGTGTTACGCGTGTTATGCGTGTTACAATTTGTCATATTTAATTTATAAAAGTATTCACCGTAATGTGATCTTATATATGATGTTGGATCTCGTAAATTATTTCTTCGTTTTTAAGCGAGAAGAAAAACAAAGAAATAATTTACGAGATCCAACATCATAAGATCACATTACGGCGAATACTTTTATAAATTAAATATGACAAATTGTAACACGCATAAATTTCTAACAAATTCTCGACTCGAATTAACGGACTATTAGTAAGTTTAAGAATAGGATGATCTATTTTTTGTAAGAATTATAAATTACGTAACACTGTTATACTGAGGAAAACTGCGTGCGGTTGAAACGTTTATGGAAGGTTTTTTTGTAATTTAATATATTGTTTATGAAATAAATTTTAAATGGATACAACATCTTAAATATTGCTCAAGTTGGCCTTTTTTGAATACATTTGTTGTTTTATTTTTTTCATATTTGTTGTTTTCAAAACGTTTTAATATATATAAATACAGAATTTTGTCGAATTTTTCGAAATACGATTATAAGCTTTGATAACATGTTTTTTTAATAATTTTCTCAATTTGCTTAATAAGCGCGAAAGACAATAAATAAAGTAATCGAAATGTAAAAAGGACCAGTCTATTTTAAGCCGCATATATGGATGGCAATATTTTCAAAACCGACGAGAATAGATCCACAAGCAACGAATGAATATTTCTACTTAAAAGATCCAGGAGAGCGTATCTTTGAAAATAAACAATTTTACGTTATATGAATATGTTGGCGACTACGTTTTGCCGGTGCAACAACAGTCGTTTCGTTGTGATAGGGGAAAAAAATTATCGCATGATACGCGACGATATCGATCAGGTGTTTCGTTCGAGAGCCCGTATAATACACGTTCCTGCAGTGGCGAGTAGTGTGAATAAAAAAAAAAAAAAAAAAAAAGAGTAACACATAGTGGAGCGAGACGAAAAATAGGTTGAAAAATGCCGTCGCCATAAACATTCGTATAAATAAATGTAAATCTGCCCGGGTGCGCGCGCGAGAGAGCGTTACGTGTATAAAGCGGACGAATAAATGTAAATCTCGCTTTTCGGAAAATGGTGCACTCGAATAAAATCTCTGGATAATATTTCGGTGGACGACCAAGAAAAAAGGGAGGCGGGAAAAGAAGGCACATATAGGCATAACGGTTCACGGAGTAGTAGTTTTGCATGGTAGTGATGGTTTTGCGACGCTGTGAGCCAAGCTGATTACGCTATGATGATAATTAATTGCGTTTATAAGCGCGTTATGGCTGCGCGTGTTGCTACACGATTTCGCTCGTGCCCTCGGCGCGTTGATTAAAGCTCGAAAGTGAAGGGAACGTAAAGCACGGACATTTGACGATTTTTCATGAAATTCTTCCCCAAACCGGATTATCTCGTGTTTAAGGGAAAATATTTTATTTTCCGAGGAGCGCGAAAATCGTTCGCGGATGAACGAGAACGCCGCGATATGCGCTAAACTTGTTATCGGGTGACAGTATATACACTTTTCGGTTAATCTTTGTACTATGGACGATAGATTATACAGAATTCTCTCTCTTTCTCTCTCGAGTTTAGAAATTTAAATAGGGTAAGATGTTTAACTACAGAGTGTACAGTTGTTTTAATCCACAGGTCTAAGAGAATTCCCATGAAAATTCAAATGCTTAATTCATGAAATGTAAAATAGAGTATTTTACTAAGAAATTTAGTTTTAAAAAATCTCTAATCAAACGCATCTTGATTCCAGTGAAAAAATTTTAAAGATATATTATTTTATTATTTATTTTAAATTATATACTTTTCATATTTACCAAAAATGTTGAACAAAATTATAAATATGCTATAAATCATATTTTAATATTTTGTTTCTTTTTGCGAATAAATCATCCGGTAAAGAACTGAATTAAAATAGGAAAAAAATATTTTAATAAAATATCAAGATAACTTAAAACTGTAATGTAGGGAAATGTGCTTCTTATCCTAACGTGAGATATGAGATGGTAGGAGATGATTATTCGCAGCGGTTATTACACGTTGCTCTATTAATTTCTCCGGTTGTCTCCGCAGTAGACGATGACGTCTGAATCGGACACCATTCCGATTCCAACCGCGCGTTGTCGCATACGTAATTTGCGCCTCGTGCACGCCGATGTGTCGCTTTGAGCTCTCTCTCTCTCCCTCTCGAGTTGCCAGCAGTTTGATCTCGCCAAAATGCATAAATAATATCGAGAGTTTGAACTCGTCGGTTTGCGTGATGCCATTGATTGATATCACGCCGTCAATAAGTTGAACGCAACAGGTTGAACACACATTTCAGACAAGTTTTAAACATAACAGAATAGATGTAATAAAAGTTCAAATAGTAAATTCAAAAGAATGAAAATAAATAAATTCACCCTTTTCATGATTGGTGGAAATTTGTATTTGTAGGAATATTAAAAATTTGTAGAATGTTTTACGCATAGATATAAAAGAAATCAAGTAAAATGTAAGAAAAAAAATGTAAAAAAGTAATGAAAAATAATTACGGAGACTATGCGATTTACAACAACGCGCGCGGACCAAAAAAGAATATATAATGTAGAAAGTGAGACAACTGGACAAGAATTTTAAGTATTCTGTAAAAAGTTTTTTGGTGTAAATAGAAAAATATACAGTAATGCACAGAAAGAAAGTACATGAAAATATCATTAGCTGAAAATAATTAAAAAATTCGTAATTTTTTTATGTACTAGTATAATTACAAGAATATATATATATATATATAGAAAAAATATAAGAGATTTACAAATTTTTGCAAATAATACATTTTACAATTTTAAATTCTTTAATAAAAACAATAGAATTGCAATAGAGGAAATTACTCATTTTATTAGAATTATGTCGATCCACCGAGTGTGAGATGAAGCGGATATTTAATTATCTCTAATATACTTATACCAATATCATTAAAATGGTATTAAATAATAAAGAAGATAGCCAATTATGTGCTAAAGTGAGAAAAGGGAAATGTTCGATTTGTATTCTAAAATCATTAATAACAGCCGGATGCTGCGTAATGTGGCTGAAATGGGAAGTGAGTAATGAGGTCAGGCGCGCGTAGTTAGGCACAGGCAGGAAGTTTAGTATTCGCGAGGATCACATAATCCTTTCTTAATGACGCAACCGTTTTTAGCTTTAATACGCAACGGAGCTACATCCGAAGTTGCGTCTCGTCTATTTCGTCGCGCGGATTAGCACCCTGCATGTTGAAACGTATATGTAAAGTCGCGCATATATACACCAGGAGAGACGAATATCTCTCGCGGATATCTCGACGCGCATATCTCCAGATTCTCGCGAGCTGCTCGAAAACGAATATCGAGAATATCTCGTTTTACATACTCGCAACTCTCTTGCGCAACTGGTTTTAGCCTTCAATGTGAAATATCTGGGCGATTAAGTATCATAAATTTAAAATCCATGTTAAAACCAAGTATTCCGCAAAATTAAGCACCAGAATCCTATCCCTCCTTTTTCTTCCTTTTTTTTTTTCACGTTCGCGTATTTTTTTTATTGACTCTTCATCGCTTATCGAGAATTATCAATGCATGGAAAAATATTGGTATATTTTTTAGATTAAGTTTTTGATATTTGTCATGTTGAGATACAATATATGGTATCGGTGATTTCGAAACAGTGCATACGTGGCTTAATGCGAACATACGGAGTGCATCAGCACGACACCGATTCGGCTGGGCGAAGTGAAGCGGGGCGAGGCGAGCTTTCGAAATAAATCCTTCCATATGCGTAAATCACGCGAGCTCTTTTTTCCGAAACGCTGTTAATATTCCCAGCATTTTCTAGCGACTGTCACGCCGGGCGATCGATTTCACTGGATTTTTAGACTTCTGTTGACCCGGATTATGCTATTGCAAGAAAAAATATCCTTATCAATTCGACCAATCGTGTTTCCGTGATCGTGCATGCGAACGACGAATTCTCCGGATAATCCCAAGCTGAGTGAGACCTATCAGATCGCGAGGGATCTTGATCGAACTGTTCCGCGCAACGATTGAAATACGCGTAAATACTCGGAGTATACGACAACAGAATCGATTATACTAACTCACCTGGTGGAGCATCTTCGTGAAAAGAACGTATATATCACCGGAGAGAGACGATACACCGTGTGAGACTGTTTCGTAAAATTCGAAACGGGGTTTCCTCAGTTATTTCATTCACGTAGTATCTATATCATGACACACGGGAGTCCAGGTCGATATCGAATTTTTCCCAGGTCTCTCTCTCTTTTCTTCGGTCCGAAACGCTGGGCGTCTTCGCCCGTGTTGCGGGGATCAGCCATCCCGTTTAGGTTTTACGGCGTACTTTAGCCGCAGCAGCGCGCTCGGACTCGTCCGGATGACCGTGCTCTCGGCGTTTCCATCTCGAATAGAAGTTTTTACGCCCCCGGGAGCTTATTATCCGCGGAACAGCCGCGGGCGCGCTCGTATTTCCGGATATAATTTAGCCCGTCGGATGTTTCAGCTGCGCGTGGCAGGCTTAATTTCGCACCTACGTGCGCGATCGCGGCTCACGAAAATGGAAATAACTTCTCTCGCGTTACGAGAGGGTTACAGGATGAACGAACGCGCAACGTTGCGCTTGTTCTTCCACGGCGATGAGCTCTCCCGCGTGGAAAATAATTCAACGACGCTCTCGTCGTAAAACCGGGCGTAAATTGGCCGCCGGTTTACATCAGGCGGTATCCATTTCCCGGAGCAAACTGTCGATAGCGCTCTCCTTTAAACGTAGAATCAAATATGTTTATATTCTCTGCTCTCCGATAGCGGTTTTCGCGAAAGTAAACCCGATCGATAAGCGCATAAAACGGAAATGCAAATTTTATTCGTCGAAAATTATTTTTAATAATAAAAATTTTTATTTATAATTTTTTTTTTATTTATCATTTGCAGATCTCGCGGCGCAGCTTCACCGTCACCGGTGTTCTCCACCTGCTCGTCCTGGTCGGCCTTTTCACTCTCAGCACGGCCGAGGCACGAACCTTCTGTCCCAATGGCTGTACTTGCGACGACGACACCCTGGTTGTCTCCTGCGTGGGTGCCAACCTGGACGTAATACCGATCGCGCTGAATCCCAGCATTCAACGGATAGTGCTCAAGGAAAACCGCATCAAGATCGTGGACGCGGCGGCCTTCCAATTCTACGGCGATTTGAAAAACGTGGATCTTTCCAGCAATCACTTGTTCACCATACCGAACGGCAGTTTCGACGCTCAACGACACTTGGTGGAGCTTCACTTGAAGCATAACAAGATCTCGGCACTCACTGAGAAAACATTCCAGGGCCTCAAGTCCCTTACGGTGTTGAATCTGCGAGACAACTATCTGGAGACGCTAAATAGCGGCCTGTTCTCTTACTTATCGAAGCTCGAGGAGCTCGACCTGGGTCAGAATCGCATATCGAAGGTCGAGCCAGGTGCGTTCCAAAAATTGGGCACTCTTCGGGTGCTGTATCTCGACGACAATCAGCTGCGAGCCATCCCCTCGCCAGCCTTGGCCCCAATGAAAGCCCTCGCCGAGCTTCACATCGGTTGGAACGCCTTCTCCTCGTTGCCGGACGACGCATTTAAGGGTCTCGAACAATTGGCGGTGCTGGATATCATGGGCGCCGGGTTGGATAATATTAGCGACGGGGCATTCCGCGGCCTGAACGCTCTTCGCAGCTTGAAACTAAGCGCCAACAAGCTGCGCGAAGTCCCGACGAAGCAACTGGCGGTGTTACCGCGCCTGGAAGAACTTACCCTGGGTCAGAACTTTTTCACGATTCTACGATCAGGCGCTTTCCAAAGTCTGTCGACGCTTAAGAAGCTCGACGTATCCGGCGCTAAATTGTTGACCACCGTTGAGAAAGGAGCTTTCTCGGACAATGCGAATTTAGAGACTCTCGTGTTGAACAATAATAAACGACTGGCTATTATGGAGGACGGTTCCCTGGCTGGTTTACCGAATCTGAGGCATCTGATGCTGCGCGACAATGCCTTTGTCACGTTCTCGGAATCGCTGGTCGCTTGGAACGAACTGCGTCGACTGGATCTTAGCGAGAATCCGTTAATCTGCGATTGCAGTCAGCTGTGGTTAGCCGAGGTACTTGTACCAAGGAATTCCAGTTCGGTGATATGCGCTGAGCCACCCGAATCCAAGAGTAAACCTATCAAAGGCATGACGCCTGATGAACTGGGCTGCGCCTTCTCGGATCCGCGCAAACAGGCCCTGTTGGCGACAGTAGGCGCCGCCGGATTGGCCCTTTTTACTGGTGTTGCTCTGATTCTGTATTATCGATGTCGTAGGCGCGTGCGAGACGCGCTTAAGGACTACAAGTGGAAGAACCGCGCGATATCGCGAAAGGAACACGAATACCAAAAGACCTTCTCCGATGATGAGTATATTGTTCGTTCAGCGCACGCCCACCATCATCATCATCACCATCAACCACCGCAGTCTCAGCCGGTGTCTACGCATCATCATCATCACCATCTTCAACAGCAGCTGCAGCAACAGCAACAGCAACCACATTCCCAGATGACAGCCGGTATCAAACCGATACCGGTGACGGAACTGTAGCTAGAACTTCGGGCGGCGAGCCCCGGGACCGGCGGGGTCTGGTTCCTGCCGCACGGCAGCACCACTCTCGCCGAGGGCTTCACCTACATCGACGGCGAGACGGCGCGTCAGATGCGCCGCCGGGAACGCTGCCCGTCGCGAACAATGCTTCCGGTCACCGCGGAGGAGCAGGAGGAGGAAAAGGAGGTGGCGGAACGGGAGGAGGCGGTAGGGGTGTCGTGGATGACGGCACGGCGTCGCTGAGCGCCGCACCAATCGACGGGGTCACGTCCAGCGCAGCGAGATCCCATTACTCCAGTCATTCCCTGCGACGAACGCCGCATTCGCAGCCGCAACTCTCCGCTAGAGAACCGGACGACCGGATGCGAACCTTGGAGTCCGGACTCCAGAACGGGATGGTCGGTGGTCGCCATCAGTCGTCGTCGCCACCGCCGCTGCCATCCAGGCATCAGGCCAATTGCGGTCAATCCTCGTATCCTACTCTGCTAGTCAACGGACACGCCACTCATCACTATCATCATCACGCGAGGGAGCGCGAAAAAGACAGGTCATCCATTCGCGAGAGAAATCGCGAACGGGATAACGGTGCACCGCCACCACCGCCGCCGCCACCGCCACCGCCTGTAGCATCGCACCGATCCGACAAACACCGAGAGGCCCAATTGGAAATGGAGTTACGCGACAGCCTCGACATGGGAGTTATTGGAACCTACCGAGCGTAGACGAGCGCCGATGAGGAACGGGATGTGTGTCACGTTGCAGATTGAGGAAATGAGAAGACGCATCTGCAGTCCGGAAAATATATAATCGCACTTTCGTGTGAACTCTTCCGCGTTGTTTTACTTAGGACAGAAAAGTTCGCAATGAGAATAATTTAAAGACAATTTGACGAAGACAGTCTGAAGTTCCTGTCATCGCAAAGCGCAAAGAAAAGAGAATTAATGAAATGAAAAGAAGACTGAGGAAATATTGACGAAGAATATCAAGAAGCAAAAATGAGAGTAATCGTTATGTCGAGAGCACCGTTAAAACTCCTATTCGGAATATCTTATATTGATCATGATATCTATAGAGCCATTTGATCATTGATAATGCAATCAACCGATTAGCTTTTCTGGGACAAGATGGTATTCTAAAAATTGCGACTTCCTCAGCTCTCAATGATTTTTTAATAAATTTATTTTTCCGTGTGACTACTCAAAAGTTAATACTCTCTTTGCTACCGTCAGGCATCATCATCGTTTCATGAACCTCCAGAGAAGAATGGATTCAACAGACACGGAAATGACTTTGGCCAGGACTTTTCTCCAGGACTCTTATCACTGATGACCGCAAGATTGTCACAGCCTTGTCAAAGATGAATGATGCCAAACGGAAATCCCTCGCGGATGAAATAACCCATAGGGAGACGGGATCCCTAACGACGGAAACGACGGGCCATCGGTCACGTGGAGTCTGTTGTTCCATGTGATACACACTGTCTTATATATACGTGTAAAAATGCTGATATACACGATATGATCGTGTCGAGACCGCCGAGCTCGATCGAAACTGAAGTTCGATAGCGCATCGGTCTACGTCGAGTCACTCTTCGAGAGATCCGGAGAATCAATGTAACGAGTCGTTCGAATAACGCCGAAAAACTGAGAGCGATTCATTTAGAATCTGTCGATCTATCGTCATCCTATCGTTTTATTCGAGAAGGACGCGCGACGAAAACTCATGTCGCGAAACGTGTATCATAAGCGAGAAGATACTATACTATAAAAACGTAGAACTGCAGCTAAATAAATATACATATACAGATATATAAATAAAAAAAAATATATATATATATACATAAATTATATATATTCTAAACGGTCGAATTATTTTCTAAATAAAAACACCAATGTACAGAGGCAATGACAGAGACGGTATAGTTGAGCTAGTGTCACGCGTCCTCGACTATCGTAACTTTAATGAATTTAACTTTAGAGATCGAGAGTTTCTGGGTACCTGCCTACTAACAAGAAGAAGAGAGAATGAAAATCAGTAAGCCGGTACCCGCTTGCAATTCGATCCCTCGATCGTTGAGAGAGAAGAGATCGTGGGGTGGAGAAATTATCAAAATATTGATATCGCGCGCGAATTAATGGTATGTTTAAGATTGGCCGTTTCTCTTTCTGGTCCAGTACATGTAAGACTCGTTAAGGATTTAACCTTAAGAAGGTTTACGCTGTTGTTAGGGAACCGCGCAGGTTTCTAAACGCGAATATCGTCCGTTTTTTTTTGTTTTAGCAAATGAGTGTCTTTCGAGATCGAAATGTCAAATCCACGATAGAGATGTTAGAGAATTCTTCGGCAAAATTTCGGATTTAACACGGGTTTAATATATGTATGATTCACCGATTTATCGAATCCGAAATACGATCAAATATTAAAATTTATTTTATTAACATTATTAAAACGTTCGTTTTTTTTTTATATAAATAATTGAATAAAAGAGTCCATTATTTTTACAGTTTTTAATATTTTGATTTTATTCAGAAAAGATAGAGAGAGAAAGAGAGAACGTTTCGTGCGTCTGTCAACCTCGGAACATCATGTATTTCATATTCTAGAACGGAGTCGATCCATCTTGCCCTTGTCAGAGTTTTAATTCGTGCGAAGAAAGCAACATCTCGCCGCACTTTCGCCGATGCGGATGGCATGTCGAATTTCAACCGGTCTCCAATTCACGCCATCGGAATAGAGTTTTAATCGCTATTAAATGACGTTGGTACACGCCACGTGGGTAACTTTCGGGTCACTTTTACTCTCGATATTATACACGAGGCAATTCCTGCGGCGATGCGCGCCGCGCATCGGAAATCCCGCGGTCCTGATAAATCGCGGCTACATTAAAATGCACGGGGCGCGGCCGAGTTTAAGTTAGTTTCCCGAGAGACGTAATGGCTACGGGTAGAAAGAGCGAGAAAACTAAAAAAAAAGGAGAAGGGAAAAATAAAGAGAGAGAGTGAGAGGGAGTTGTGTGTGTAAAGAACGAGAGAGGGCGAGATACGGCGAAGATGTACTTTACGGAACGAGATTATTTTTCCGCCCGAGTGTACCCAGTGGAATTCCACGGTCACCCGGCCTGAGAAAGGTGACTGCACCTTGAATCGACTCCCGGCGGCGCGGTGCAGTCGCTTGCTCGCTAGCTCGCTGCTGGGCGTGGAAGAAAGTAGCGGAATTTCAGCTCCGGGTAGAATCTGCAGCAACGGGTTCGAAGATTAGGCTCGAAGCGTTAACTTCATCGGCACGACGAAAAATCGAACGGAAATTGAATACGCTTTAGTACTCGCAGCAATGTGTTGTTGATTTCAACTATCTATTTTTCGATCGATTTACTTCTCTCTTTCTTTCTCTATCGCAGTAGTAACATAATAAAATTACATAAAGATAAAGTCAAAGAAAATATATGTATATATAGAACAAACGTGATTTATAAAATTAAATATACGTTAAGATATCAATATTAAATATATTGAAAATATAGAGCAACGTGCGGTTAATGTTAAGAACTGAAGGAATAAATGTCGCCAAATAAAGTACGGTAGCGATGGTACACCAAGCATGATTTATCGGAGGAAAATTACGGATGCATCGAATGGCGAAGATACGGTGGGAGTGAAAGTTACTATCGATAATGGAGTAACTGTCGTACGGTATCGCCGAAGGAAGATATATTGCAGCTCTACTTTTAGGTATAACTGTGAGTAGAATTCTCTCTTCTCTCCCGTGGATGCGTTTTGCACATATCTCAAGGACACTCTCATCTTCGCTCTCATAAAATCCTTTCTATTCGGCATCGGAGACGCCAAATTATTATTTGACACGCGATGCGAATTTTTGTCCGGATATAAAAACGAGATTTATAACATTCGACGTTTCTTCAAAGTAAGATTAAAATATATTGTTATGTATCATAATTTAATAACGAATTAAATCGTGGAAGGGAATTGAGAGAGCTATTCTTGTGCCGAAACAAGATTTGGTTGTCAAGGATTGCGATTCGCAAAAATTTTAAGCAATTGAAATTTGTCAGGTGAGTGAGTTTTATGTTAAGTTTTATCAACGATAATCGAGATATATCGTCGATGGTTTTTTTAAATAGTTCAATATTCTGTAAACATTCCGTGCTGCAACCCGCTTCGAGGAAAAAAATGTGTATGATACATTCTCAAAAAAAATACTGAAAAATATATCAATTATAAAATCCAGATATTTGCGAAATATAAATCGTTTCAAACGAGCGACTCTTACAATTAGAGATAAGTTGGAAACTCAAAATCAAACCGTATAATCTACCGTTTTTAGGAAATGAATAATGTCACCGGAAATCTGAGAAAGATTTACAACATTATTTCCGCTCAAATTATAACTGCCACGAAGAAGAACCAACATTTTTATTATCGTCATGAGACCGAAGAAGACATCGCAAATACGATGATTTATAATTTTATACCGGAACAATTTTTGCTATTAATTTTATAAATACATTTCGATATATCATATGTCGAAGACTACTTTTTAAATTCATGTGTTCGTAAACATTATGCTCAAATTGAATCTTACAGAACAAACAAAACACGGCATAAAGATGTGATCTCTTATTGATATATATGTAATTAAAAACTTTTGAGAGTATAATATTATTACATTTACGCGGGAAAATATTATTACAATTGTAAAGGACATCCACATGGACGTCATATTGCACTTGTATGGATGAAAGGTTGCACATACATTCATACATATGTATGCCATATTACACATTTGAGGATCAATATAATGCATATGTTCCGCGACGCAAACATTCGTGAATCGATTAAAAGCACGATAGCGGGCATTTTCGGGCACTCTAATGTTACGATATCGACAGAGAAAACTAGCATAGGGACATAGTATTTAATTTCGTAAGTTTGAAAGCTAATCCGAAATATCCTTGCGAAACTTTGTGAATTTTCGCGGGACGGCTTTATCCACGTCGCTCTCAAATAAAACGAGAGAGCAAAATCGAGAAGTTTTATCCGGCGATGTAACAATGTGTGCAATCTCGAACGGCGATGCAACAACAGCCTCCCGCGAGACGAATAGTAATTCCACACCTCTCCTAATAATAAATATAGAAAATAATTATCACATCACTCATAATGATCTTTTTCATGCGCGTGCAATTTGTTTTTGTATACGGTTTATAATGATTACAATTTGATATATGATTTGTATGTCGAAGCACGACGATGCTCTTAATTTACAATCAGTAACAAAGCATTTTGCGCGTACCTGAAATATGACACATTTATCTCGTGTTATTTTAATGAAAATTTCCCTCCTGCCATCAATCATTTTTTAAATTTTGTACAAAACGTAAAGATTAATTAGATGCGATACTAACATTCCATGTATGGCGAAAGTTAGTAGTGCAAAATATTTAAAAATATTTTTTTTTCTGGAACAATTTTTATTATTAAAATGATGATAACAAAATTTGTATGTTTTATGTGTAAATTATTCGTTCTACTTCTGCCAAATCCGTATTGCGATATTATCGAAAAGTGTTAACAAGCTGCGAAATTGTGCGAATTCAAATTTGAAACCATTTTCTTGTATATATACGATCAATTTCAAGGTTTTGCTATGATTTGTGAGACATGATTCCGAAGCGAGTCATCGGATAAATCTTAAATAGCGTATTTGTAATTCAAATGCATTGTATAAATGTCAGAATTCAAGTATCATAGATAGAAGCGGAACGACGAAAAGTGTATATTTTACGATATGACCGTGATACACTAAAAATTCATCATATAACATTATCGTATCGCTAGTCAGTCGACGCGTTTCGAAAGAAGGAAACAGAAGAGAGGCATAAGAGCGTAGAAAGAAAGGAGCGTTTTAAATGATCGAGTTAAATTATAATCGAAATATTAAATTATTGTACAAAATTGAGCGCCGGTAGTTCGTAAGGCCTATTGTATCTTTTCCTTTTCGTATCGATCACGTATACGATACGTACACGTAAAGTGCCGCGGCACAATGAAATACACGAACGAGAATTGAGGAATGCATAATCTAACAATAAGTCAAAAAATCAAATTAAATCTCAGAATGACATTTATATTTCTCCCGAAATTATAAAAAAAAAAAAAAAAAAATAGAAATCGAAGTTGAATATAAATGAAAATGTAAATTTTAAAACCAATCGAAAATATGTCACACAAATGTTTTATCCTTTGGTACGTTATATGTTCATTTATTTCCTGTAAATATACATGTATATATATTTTTTATATGCATCTTATATATACTCGTGTATTTCACTGTAACTCAGGCCCTTAAATCGGCGGCGCGTCGAAAGGCGCCGCGCACCTCTCGTCTCATATCTGTCATAACACACTCTCATCCGAGTTCCTTCTGCCGTTCGAGAGATAAGCTCGAGTTCTGCCATTCGACCGCGGGCTCACGATGCCGTTATCGGACGACGACAGGGCGTCGATTGACGAATTCTGCGTACTTAGCTGCGCGGCAATGCAATCTCTCGCCGGAGGTGCCAGTGTGCAAACACGTGCTTATCACTATCTCTCGATAAACTTAGTATCAATACGCGTTCTGTGCGCCATTGTGATCGCGATTCCCGGATATGTGCACGGATGATAACGGGAAACTTAGGCGCGAAGGCAGACGTAATGGTTCACCCTCTGTGGTCATTTGCAACACATTTTCGGTCCAATGTTTATTTAGACAGAAATTAAAATTTTTGAAATAGAAGCAAATTTCAAATAAATTGCGCTGTGCGTGATTTTTTAAATTAAAAAATGTTTTCTTTGAGAATGTAGAGAAATTACAGAGCTAAATTAATATGTTGGCCTCTGCTAAGTGCTCGGTTTGTTAATTGGATTTGATCTAAAAGGAGTAATTAATTTCATCCGCAGAAAGGGTTCCACGGATGGGTGAACACAAATCTCCCTTCGCTAATAATACCCCATGTATCGAATTTAAACGACCTAATCTTAAATTGTGATATATACGTATAGTATTTGATTCTCGCACAGCTGCGTGAAACTGTAAATTTCACGGGATAAATTATTATATGCACATTCCACGGGAAATCGTACATATATCATTAAAGTGATATTTCGCGTTTCTCCAGGATGGCGGAACTTAAAGCTTCTTCTATCGACCGATATCTTTAGGCGATTGTAATTCTTCGATCTCGTCTCTGTGCACTTTAGATTTGAAAAACGATCAGCGAGAGAATGAGAGCGAGCGAGCGAGAAAGAGAGAGTGAGAGAAAGAGAATCGAGATCCAGTCCGAGTCGAGATTTGATCGGCAAACGAAAGCCGATGTATACAGATGACATACACACACACACACACACATTCTCAATTTTATTCACACAAATGCGCACGCACATACAACTACACACACTGTATATTCGTGTAAAGCATAGCGGAGCCTTATTGAGAAAGCAATATTCATCCTTAAACTGCTTAAAGTATTTTCAAGCTGCTAATCTATCGAATGATTAATTCCTACGCTAGGTGAAAGAAAAACGAAACGTCATCTCTCCTGCGAAAGGCGAATACTCGGGGAATACTCGATGATCGCGAAATTCGAGATTCGCGATCGGCGAGGATCCGAATCCATGCGAGAGAACTTGGAAGCTGAAAGACCCACGGATATAACGCGTCAGAATTCAGAGAATCATCAGCGAAAGCTCCTTCGAATATTCGATCATCTGTTATCGCTAGACAAGGGGTGTACATCGTGGTCTCTCTTTCTGGATTTCTCTGACATTTTTCGAAAATATTACCGCTCCATGAGTTTGCGGAAACGCAAACCGTCCTACTATCATCCGGAACAAATTACGGCAGAGAGATAAAAGAGCGCGCGTTTGCTCTCTCACTCCGGGACTGTAATACAGCGTAGAATTGGATTGGAAGGACAAGTTTAATTACCATGCGAAACTCCCGGCGTTTACGTAAACATCGCGAAATTTCGTTCGTATATACAAAAAGCGTTTCGCGAAACGAAAAAGTTTGTGCGAACCGGCCGGCGCGCACAACATCCTGACGGCGAGGCTGAAATGCATTTTCACCGCGAAAAACGCGCCCGAGTGAAAACTAAATTAAACTCTTAAGTCGCGCGCGAGAGGAGTCGTTAAAATACGATATGTACATAACTGTAGTATCTATCGAAAAATTGTCAGAAAAATCTAGGAGAGAGTCACTCGCTCCCTTCCAATCGTGAGGGAGGATGCATCTTTCGCGCGCGTAATAGAAATTTCGAATCGAAATTCAAAGTTTTTCGCGATCGGTCCGAATGCGCCTCGCTTTGAAAGTGATCCGCGGCGCGCAAAAAAAAAAAAAGAAAAAAACGCGATCTCCCCCTCGTAGCGTTTATTAATCGATAGCCGCTCTGCGCGTCCGAGAGCGGCACTCCTGCCCGCAAACGTATACGCGGCGCGCGCTGTTTTTATTAAACGATTGCATCACGTTCCGGAGGGCGAGAAGGGGATGGTCAACAATCCGAGTCGGCAGAGAGTAGTTATCCACTTCGCGCATATATACATATATATATATATATAAAATATATATATATATATATCGATCACCATCAGTTGTTTCGCGGACCAACTGCGAAAATCGTCTCGATGTCGTTATATCGTGGGCACAAAGTATAGTAGAGCCTCCACCCCGACTATCATCTCCCTTGTAAATACATTTCATATCCTCTTCTCCCCCTTCTCCTATCCCTTTCTTTCTCGGAAGAAAATAATCCGCATTTTTGCCGCGCGGTTAGCATCAAATACACCGATGTGCGATCCTCATCTCACATTTATCGATCCGTGAGAGAGACGGAAAAAAACGCGCGTTTCTTTATAGAAAATAAATAGAAAAAAGTTGTATTAAAATCATTTATATAAAATGAATAAAATTCTAAATAACTCGATATAATGAAAAAGAAAAATATATTGAGACGGTCGTAGGTATTTGACGTTAAACGCGACTACTCGAATCTCATCTCGTCGAAGCGCGACCCTCGTAATATGAACAAATCAAATTTCGTTCGTATAATTTTACTTAAATAAATAAATAAATAAATAAGTAAATTTTTTTACACACTGCGCTAAGAAGAAATATAATTGAACGGCGCGGAAGAATGCGGGGCGACACACGTTACACAATCGCAATTCACATCGCCTATACTCGATATTTTCTCTTCACTTATCGAATACTTTTTATTATAAGATGTATCATAAAGAGGCGCGCAGATATTACTGATAAATCCCGCGGTCTTCTTTCCATCCGTTCGCCGACGGAGGTGCCGATCCGATCAATGATCGGCCAGTGTAAATATTATTATCGCGTATGGACGAACGTGAAAGAAGAAGGCGAGCGGGAAATGCGCTCATCATCGCCGTCGTGGTTTTTTTCTTTGGCGTGAAAAAGACAAGCAAATGTACTGACTCGTCAAGCCGAGCGGGGAAAGGGCTGTTCTCTTTCGAGAGAAGTCCCTGGGCCATAACATAGGTCATTAATAATAATAATAATAATAATAATAATAGTAATAATAATATTAATAGGGATATTCCAGCGTTATTTTGTACATAAACAACTTTATCAACAGATATTAAGAAGTCATCAATAAATCTATATATAAAAAAAATTGAATTCAATCCTCTATTATATTTCATCCATCCTTTATTTAGTTGGATTATATATTTCATATCCAATAGATGTAGATTATTGATAAAAAAAAAAGAGACGTGCATCGATAATCAAAAATTTTGATATCGTATTTTTGTAATGAATTTTACATCACTTAAAATATTCCATGAGAATATTGATTTAGATAGGTAAGCCACGCATCATTTTTGATAAATCCTATTCGTTGATGAATGCGACTGAATATTTGCTGCAATCAATATTCGCATGTGTTTAGCGATGCATTTAACGCTAGATATGGCTGACTAATTCTGAGTTTCATTTATCTAATATGGAAATCACATTCTCTCAATGTAAACACGGGAAGAGACTCAGACAGTTACATTTGCGTAATGTGGTTCCATTTGCGTAATACGAAGATCACATTGGGTAGTAAACATACAATGCGAATCGGACAGTTGGATCAAATTACCGTTTAAAATATATTGGTAATGGACGATATTGTGTTCTGCTTTTTCTCGTCAAAACTAGACTTTTTTTTATCAACATTATATGCTATATTCAAAAATTTGCTATTAAATATGCTATAAAATTTGATATAAAATCTGTTCAAGTCATATTGCAACTTGCTGCAAATGAAACGATGTTAAAATTTTCGCACGAATAAATTTCCGTGCAATATTACAAATGAAAAGGGATGCCTCATATACAATATATTTTGCATAATTTCATTACGATAGGATTACGTCAGGTTTCGGCAGCTTCGAATAAAATTATGCATGCGCACTTTAATAATTGGCATGGAAAAAATATCCAATATATAGCTTCAAATATTGACTTTTATTAAATTGATTCAGCAACAACACAAATCCGCAAATACAATTGTTTCCCTAATTATATACAAAAGCTATATTTGTGTTAACGCTTTGTTAACATTTATATAATTAAATATACTTGTACATATTAATATAAACAATTTTAAATATTTAAAACTTAAAAAAAACCATATAATAAATATGAAATATACTCATCGATAAAAAATAAGTATCTAGAAAAAACATCTAATAACAAATTTTTATAGAATTACACAGTAGATATGCAAATGATTTCAGTTCGAATAATCATGCATGCTAATATACAAATGGCCATCATGATTGCCGCTACAGCTACATCTTGATACGTAATTTCTTTGTTATTAAATGTATTTTTCGGGATGCTTAAATTTTTTATTGATGAATGTATATATAATGTTGCAGGATCTTTTTAAATTAACTTTAGAAAAAGCTGCCTCTTTTTATAAAATGCCAATTTAAAGATTCTTTATAAAAAGATTAAGTTTACACAATTCCTACAACATTAATATATGTATATATACATACATATATCCCTATCTATATGTACATAAATTCAAAAGTCACTTAATATTCTTTTAATGACAAATTATTTTGTTAATTGATTTTTATTTACCAAAAATGTTGAGAAATCAATAATTTTCAAATTAAAAGTAATTGAAAAAGAAAAGCTGTTTACATATTAAATTTTCAGAAGTTATATGGATACCAAAAATTTCAATTAATTTTAGGTAGAATATTTTGATAAGATTTTAATTTCAAGTCTTTCAATTACATTTCAATTACAAATATATATAATGCAAAAAAGTAGAAAATAAATAATGATCTTTTTCAATATTTTCGCTAAGGAAAATTGACCAAAAACCAATCTGTCATTAAAAAGATATTCAATGGTTTCTCGACATTATATATACATGCACATAGGATATAAAATTAAAAAATTACATGCAATTTTGGAATGTAAATTACAAATAAAACTGATCTAAGTAGATATTTTTGACACATAAGACAAAAAAATTACATTTTGTGCTATTGCACAAGTATATTTACTTGAAATAATTAAACAATCATATACGCAGCTGTATACGACTTAAAATAACTTAATATTTTTTCTGTTTATCTTTTCTTATTCTACTTTTTAGTTAATAGAAAAATGATATTACAACTTGTACAATTTTTTGGATTTGGTCAAGGTACACTTGTTTTTTTATGTTCATGACTAAACATTGTCTCGCATAGCAATTATGAGACAATGTACCACTTTATGTAAATAAGCTACATCACAATTGTATTATAAATCAATTTTTTTCATAAATAATTATTTTTTGGCCATTGCAATGCCCAGGCCCAGAATGCTTGCAATACCAATAATAACACCTCCCGCAACAGCCATACCCACAAGGCCCTCTGTAAAAAAAAAGAAAACAAACGAGATTCAATGCCAATTTCAGTTACGAAATGATTATTAAGCCATATTTATAATTCTAGCATGTTTCCGCGAATTTATTATTAATTGTAATTTTACCAAATTCAATAAATAACAAAAGAAGAATAATGATATGCATGGAACAACATAACGGTATTAAATAGTGGTCTTCTATATCACATCGATATACAAATTTTTATTAATTCTTATACAAGACATGTACAATTCTTATACAAGACAAAGAGATAAAATATTAAAAGGATAGATGCATTGCAAAAAATATGCAGCAACGACTATTAACAACAGTAACGAATCTGTGTCAAATTCTTTATGTATTTAAATTTTAAATTAAATTATCACACATGTGGAGGAACTAAGGAGTTGAACATTTACAAAATAAAAAAAATAAATATAAAATCTACAAAATCCTAAAATAGAGGTTACGTCATTGAAGTTAAAGTTAAGATATATGCAATATATTTTGTTATTCTTTGAAAATTAATGAAGTTAGCTCAAATTATGAAGGCATGAAATTACTAAATAGAATAAATGTAAAATTTATATAAAAAGAAGCCAGGAGAATAGAAAAATTATTAGAAACAACCAACAATAAAATGACTGCTCATGAAATTCACAGAAACTTTTCAGCGATATTGCTCCTACACAAAGCATGATTTTTGTTCTCTTAAGCCAATAATAAATTATAAAAGGAAAACCTTTTTCCATCTTCTTTTTTATCAATGTTTCCAGATGTTGTACTTGCACATTTGCAGGTTCAATCTGAAGGAATGCCCTGACGTACGACAGTGCTTTCGAGTACTCCTGGAAAGATATAATAAGCAAAGATTAAGAATATTACAGGTAAAAGGGAAACATATTTGCTCATAAGTATGCTTACCTTTATTCTGGCATTTCCAATGGCTAAGTAATATAAGCAATCACGTTTCTCTGTTTCATGATTGCTATAGAGGTCTTCTAATAACAGTATTCCTTTTCTGATATCAGCAGAATATTTGCTTCGTACAAGGCACCAGGCGTATTCAAATTGTGCTTTTTGTGTAACATCTGATGTATGCAATTGCTGATGATACACACTTTCAAATTTCTAAAATATAATATGACAATTCTGCGTGTTGCAAGATGATGCAATATTCATATATTTTCTAATATGTTTCAAGGTTCATAACATTCCTTAATTGATAAATTATTTCAATTTCGTTGCAAAATGTAAATTATGTACAATGTCAAATTAATTGCAATTTAAATATTATTTATAATATGCTATTATGAATATAATGTCACTATTATGCTTCTCGCTAGACATCTGTCTCACTGTGAAATATTTTCATAAAAATGTATAATGGCAATTCAAGGATTGTAAAAGTATACAAATTTTCTTCTACATAAAATGAATTAGTTTCTCAGATCTTGATAATATGAAGGAAAACGATACAAATATTGATAAATATGGGACAAGTAAATCTAGGAAAATCAGATACACTTAACCTAACTGTTATACTTTCTTATTCTTCTTCGATCAATTCAAGTTATCCAACAGGAAATGATATATCAAAATAAATATCACAGAAATGTCATGTTCAAGGAAATCATTGTTTAACATCTATTTACCTTTAAATCTTCAGATGAAACAACATCATTTAAAACATCTTCCATGTTTCCTGACGAATACACGTAAGTAGCACTTTACTATTGCATTGAGAGAAAATAGTAAAAAAAAGAACTGTAACTTCTATAAATATGTTATATAATCGAAAAGTAATTTTTGAAATGGTTATAGATACAATAGAAAACGCGACGAACAACGTATTTTTGACGTTGAGAACGAGAGACGATAAAAACTATCTGTATACCATGTTGTACAGATGGCGCTATTTGTAAATTTTACCACGTACCTGTATAAAAAGAGCAAAATAATTAGCAGAAGTAAAATTAATATTTATTAATAATTAATAATATATATAATATAAAAAAAAAAATATGTAACATTTATTTATAAGTGCAGTATCTTGATTTTAAGGAGATAGAGTAGAGAGAAAAATTGGTAAATGTTTAATATAAAAGATAATATCTTCTTTAACAATTTTTTAAAAATAATTATTTTATGTGAATTAATATCTAAAAAATGTAGAAAAATCCTTTACTGAATATTTATGATTATTAATTCATTCGATTACGCCTGTGATACATAAAATATTACATGAAATAAATAAGCAGCTTAAATATCAGAGAAAAGAATTTTAAATTATAATAATATATATTTATTATATATATATTATATATATATATATATATATATTATCTATTTATTTATATATAATTATTTTTATATTAATTTATTAATATATTTAACAGGAAATGCTTTGAGCTTTGCGATCACGCAAAATATTTAATGAAACTGTTGCACTATTGATGCAATATACTATATATATATATGTATATATTTGCGCATAATATGTATAAAACAGTCGCATTATATTTTCTTAACGTTTATTCCAATACTACACATATATTCATCCACAAATGATATTTTTGATGATTTATTTTCTCGATAATTTTATTAACACTCATTTTACTTGTAGAACTACGGTCGCGCGAAGTTTATTCGCTAGAACTGTCGTAATACGATCGTCCAATATTTTTCTCAACACTTTCGATATTACACATTTACTTGAAAACATTTATTTTCGGACATTAAATTCCTTGGCGAATTTATTAATATATTTGATGCAATGCATGAAATAATCGCGCACAGTTTATTTAACAGGAATATCATCCTGTCGCTTTTACGAATGTGATGAGATATGTATTTATGCTATACAATTAATTTTCTTTTTTCGTTATTCGCGATTTTACACGCTTTTTTGCAAACAATATAATTATCTCAACAATCTCAATTTGTAACTCAGTGATAAGATATATTTTATACAATTACGCAAAATTTATTTAATGAAACTGTCGCTCCTTTGCACTATTTTGGTGCCATAATATAAAATATAAAATTGCTCGATTTTTTAAAATGTTTTTAATACATGATCATTATCTACAAATAATATTTTAATATGATATATAATATGAAGGATCCGTTTCGATTTTGCCGAAACTTTACAATATTGTGTGTATTTTTATTATTCCCAAATTTAAGTAAAAATTGATGAGACTCACCGATACGATGCGTAGCAGCGTATATAGTTGTAAACTGTAAAATATAAATACAAAAAAGTTATAATAGTTTCAAATTTAAATAATTTATATTTCGAAAATAAAATTATTATTTACATTAAATTTAATATTTTTTAATTTGTTTCTTTTTTACGTTTTTTTCAAAATTTAAAAGCTTATTTTCAGTTCTTTAAGGATTAAAGCTAAATATTATAAGATGCAGAATAAAAACAGAAATATTTGAAAATAAATAAAAGAATAACTATTTATCTATGAAAAAACATTGAAAAAGAACACTAAATGTCAGTCGGGGGCTCCCTGGAAGGGATCCCGGATCCAGGCTCAGCGGGCCCATGCGTAAAGTCTGCACTGATTACGCGCCAAAATTGTAAGAACACATTAATAAAAAACATTAATAAAAAAACATTAAAAAGATGTTTTTCTTGTTCAGAGTCTGACAAAGAAAACATTTAATTAAAAAGTTTTTCTTATGATATTTTAATGTTGTATTTTTGTCTTCAATGAAAACGTGCAATTTATATATAATATAAAAGTTTATGTTTATACAAATGCGCTTCATTGTTTTAACTACAAATACTCTAAATGTTTCAAATGCTACAAGTGCTTTATTATTTTTCTTTTAAATTAACACATCTTGAATCATAGAGTGACTGTTTTGTCAAGTGAATTCCGTGCGGCTGTAGCTCCGAGTACGAGTCCAAGTATTATTCAAAATACGTAAGTATTTTAATAGTTATCAAAGAATTATATTATTGTGAATATATATCATTTGTAAAAAAAGCATAATATTGAGAATGCAATCCGTTCTTTTTTAAATATAAAAATTTTTTAGATAGATTTTGCATAGAGAAAATTATTACAAACAAAAAAATAAAAATATAAGTTTAATAATTTTATTATAACCTCGATATGAGTAATTTTCTTGGTATTTTTAACGCACGTTGTAGTTTTATCACTAATAACTTATTATAAAAGACTGTTAAATATATAATATATATATTGTTATTATTGTTAAATATTTTATATAGTATATTGTTACATATAAAAGGGGAACAAAAGATAGGAAAAGACTATTAAATATACATATTTGCACATTTACAAAGCTATTAATGTAAAATTTATTAGGAACGTAGCAATGATTTGGTACAATAACTGCATTGCAGGTACTAGCGAGTTCAATATAATATTCTTGTTAGATATTAGAAAATATTCGGTTTAGATGTTTAGCCAATGCATATACTGGTAAACCAACTATAGTATAATAATCACCATCTATTTTCTCGATTAAACAGCCTCCTATACCCTGAAGGCCATACCCTCCTGCTTTATCCCTGAAATAATATATTCTATTTAGATAAAGACAAGTTGCACAATATATATATATATATATATATATATATATATATATATATATATATATATAAATGCAGTATATAACTTCATAACTCACATGGGATCACCTGTTTTATATACTCTCTTATTTGTCTCTCAGACACATCTCCAAAATTTACTTTTGCAGCTTCATAAAACTTGAGTTCAACTTTTGGTGTTTTCAAACACACGCCAGTGTAAACAATGTGTTGCTTATTCGCTAGGCTAAACAAAAACATTTAATTAATATTATATATATATATATATATATATACTATTTAATGGTACAATCTGACACAAGTTTATTACCTAGACAACATTTGAAAAGCTTCTGTTTCGCTCTGTGGTTTCCCATAAATAACATCACCCATCGTAACCATTGTATCTGCTCCTATTATCAATGAAAGAGGTACTGGATCTGCTTTAAACGTTCGTATACCTCGAGCACTTTGTATTTGGCTATGTCTTGAACATATTCTCCATGATTCCCATATTTGGATCTATTAAGATTTTCATCGTACAAGGATGGTACTATTTCTGCAGTAATTCGCTAATAAATATATTGTTCACATTAATATCTTGCTTAAGTAATCTTTGCACAATAAGATAACTTTTGTTTTTTAGTTTTTATTTTAAATATTATTTATTTATGCAATTTTATATAATAATTCAACAATTGTTCACCAAGTGTTTTATTATGTCATGTCGTCTTGGAGATCCACTAGCTAAAATTACTCTGCCATTTGCTAGCGCGTGAATAGTTGATTCTAACATTTTGTTCTCAATGTACGAACATTTAATAATTATTATTGACACTTGTTATCAATGAAACTTGCTTATTGATTGTAATGTGTTCCACGTGTAAAATACGTTTGCAAACAACTATATGTCGCACCCGTCGATAAATGTAGATTAATCAGCTGTTTTACACGTCGATAAAATCAACTGTCACTATTGCCCCCGAGAACTTTGCAGACAAAGAAATAATTATTTCAATAGCATTTCTTTATAATTCATTAACAATCATGCTATATATATAATTTTAAGCCGAGTATTTTAGAATATTTTTCGTTTTTAATTCTAATCAATTTTGCGTTGAATCGCAAAAGAGTTGAAATAGTTGATTCATTAGAATCGTGAGTTTAAATATATATAGTGAACTATAAAGATAAATATTTAAAAAATAAAATTTTATGATAAATTGATTAAAACTAAAATAGTTAAATATATAAAAATATAAACTATAATATATACATATGTAAGACATATATACTATAATATATACATATGTCTTACATATGTATATATGTCTTACATATGTATATATTATAGTTTATATTTTTATATATTTAAATATTTTAGTTTTAATCAATTTATCATAAAATTTTATTAAATAATACATATATACATATATATTATTTAATTTATATAATATATGTAATATGAATTTATATATACCAATAATAAAAATTATATATAATATTATATATTTTTATATAGGTATAATAATTTTATATATACATATTATTATATATATACATTTATTATATGTATTATATGTATATTTTTACACATATACCCTTGTGTGAAGTAAAACTACAAGAATACGAAAAATCACTGGGATAACAATAATATATATTATTGAAAAACTATATTATTATATCAGTAATTTTTTCGTATTCTTGTAATTTTTTCGTATGGATATTTATTACTAATTACAAGAATCATCTTTTATTAATTTTTTTCTTCCATTAGACATTAAATTTTCTTCAATTAGTCCATTGAATATTACACCGGAAATGTGAGATTGTTGTGTCGATTAAATTCATAAAATTTTCGATACATAAATCGCGTATTAAAAATTTAATCTGCTCCATTAATATAGCGCATATTCAAAAATATATTAACGTTAGAAGGAGAACTGTTCTTCAGGCGCACAGGACTCTAATACATCGTAATCGGTAAATTACGTAAATGCCGCATGCCATGAACGAACCTAAAGGTCAGTTAGACCGAGGTCTTACATAATCACAAGGCGAAAGGTTGATCCATCTTTACCGCCGCTCAGCCTTCCAGCTGAACAAAGATTTAGCGGCATTTTTTGCGTGTCACTTGTGCGATAGTGTGCCCCACCTTAGTTAATCAGTACGTAATCTAAATTATTTATATAGAAAAAGGAATTCTTCAAAAATCTTTGTAATTCTGAATTTGATTTCTATTTATTACTTATTCTTTTGAAATAATTAAACAAACAACTTTATGAACATTTTCATATTTAATAAATCTATTACGCAATCATTGTAATAGCAATACAGGTATATTATAGAATACAATAAAAAGTTTTTTCAAGGAGCACTTTTTCTATTCTTTTTTTCAAATAATTAAATAATTATTAAAAAACAAAGTGATAAATATAAGGCCAACTTATCGAGCTGAATATTCGAGATGTTCAGTCAACTACCATTTATTACATGTATAAATTATAAAACTACAGTCATTATATTAAAACTAACGCAAATTACAATCATTCTATAAACGTTTCGACCGCACGCGGTCTTCTTCAGTATAATTATTGAAATATAAATTCTTACAATTCACATAATATCGAAATTTAATTATAGTTATTCAGAATCAAGAGTTTTTGAGTAATTAACGCGTGTTTCAATCCGTCCTGTCCAACAATGTTCGCCTCGATATGATCCCTGATTTTGTTCAGATCTCGGATAGTTTCATCGTTAATATGCGAGAAATTAACCCGTTCCGTAGGCGCTGCGATTTATAAAAATTACCGATCAACGCATGTCCAAATTATAATATGTATCCCCTACAATTGGTAGTATGCTTACCTATCATCGTTCTTCTTGATAATTTTGCTACTTATTAACAGTTATTAAGGATGACACATAACAAACCAACAATACAGAAAGACAGCTCATTTTAAACTCTACTTGATCGGAGAGCGTGCGTGTTTATATATGATCTAATATCTATGTTTTACTCGTTAATGTCCTATTTGTCCTATTATTATTTCTTGTTCGCTAATATATCCAAAATATCAAAATACGACTCGCTAAGTAACTCAGTATCTTTGTTTAAATTTAGTCCATTTTTTTGTTCCTTGATATGTAGCATCTCAGAAATGAGTCTTTTATAATAATTATTTTCGTTGTCCATGATCTTAACATTGTCCCAATTAAAAGTATGATGTTCATTTATTATGTGTTCAGAAATTACTGAATGTTTCGTTGAGTCCAACCTAATATTATTTTTATGTTCTTTTATTCGCGTCTGCAATTGCCTCTTTGTTTGGCCTACATAAGATGCATTACAATTATTGCAACTGATCTTATAAACCACATTCGAATTGCATGGATGTTTAGTTTTATCTTTCTGCGCTTTAATAATATTATCCAGTTTGTTGAGACATCTATACCCTACCATACAATTTTTATTTTTTACCGAGGAAACAATCATTTCTGAGATCCCATCTATATACGGAATGACAAAGAATTTTTTATTGACCGAGTCATTTCTTATACTTTTTGTTCTTTCTATGTTGGCCTGTCTCTCTATAATGCTCCCCTTAGATATGATGTGTTCTATCCGATGATTAATTTTGTTAAAAATCAGATCAAGAGGGTAACCATTGCTTCTGAGTATATTAATAATTAACTCCAAATTTTTATTAAAAAATAGTGGATGTGATAGCAATAGACATCTGTCTACAAGGTTATATATTATTCCTATTTTGTGGCATAGTGGGTGGTTTGAATAAAATGATAACGTCCTTCCTGAGAAGGTTTCTTTTTGATACCAGTCTATATATATTTTGTTATTAATAATTTTAAGTGATAAATCTAAGAAATTCAAGCTATGGTTAACCTCTTGTTCGACCGTGAATTTAAGTCTTTCATGATAGTTGTTAAAATTATTCACAATCTGAGTCATATTAGTCATAGAGGTGGCCACTATTATGTCATCCACATAACGAAAATAAAACAAACATTCCAAATTCAACGCTTTGAGAACTGTATCCTCAAGATCTTGCATAACCAGGTCTGCAATAATTGGTGATAACGGTGACCCCATAGGGGTCCCAAACGTCTGTTTATAAATTATGTCATCAAATGTAAAATATGTAGAAGTCAATATGAATTTTATACCCCCCAAAAATTCGTTTTTCGGTATTTTAGTATTTATTCCAATGTGATCCCATCTATCGTTAATACCGTCAATCGCAAGATCCAGAGGAACGTTCGTAAACAAAGACACCACATCCAAGGAAAACATCCTATCATTCTCATCAATCTTTTTACCAGACAATATGCTGTACAAATCAAAACTATTATTAATATGACTTTTCGCTTTGGGTAGACTAGTTCGTAAGGTGTTTTGTAAAAACGAAGCCAGCGAGTATAGAGCTGTATCAACCGATGAAACTATGATTCTAACTGGATAGTTTTCCTTATGGATTTTAGGTAATCCATACGCTTTTGGAAGGAGAGAATCACTACAACGTAATTTATAATATTCGTTTTTTGAAATATAATCTTCCTTAAGCCATCTCTTCAACAAATCATTCAAATCGTTCTCTATTTTTTTGCACGGATTTTTTTTAACAATAGTGTAAGTGTTGACATCTTTTAAAACGTTTTCCATTTTGTTAATATAATGAGATCTTTCCATTGCCACCGTAGCATTACCCTTGTCCGCGCGTGTGAATAGAACATTCGGATTGTCTTTACAAATTTTATTAAATCTCTGTGTGCACCAAGTAATTTTTGTTGACTTACGTCATTTTTATCCTTCGTGTTCAGAAGTTGTGCAAATTTTGGAACCGCGATATTTCTGATTGTTGTGAGATTATTAATATTATTTCGTTTGCTATTACTCTCTATGTCCTTGATGAATTCATGTATCGCTGTTTTTTTACTAATATTCGGAAGACAGAATTTATCACCCATTTGCAACAGATTAGAAACGTTAGGCGGAATGTCTGTGTTGGAAAGATTAACAAACCATTTTTTATTAGTATTTTCCAAAGGGTTAATTGTATCATTGAGAAATTTATTGGCTTCTATGTGTATATTGATCTCCTTGGCATCATTAGTGATTGCCCTGAGAGAATTTTGTGATATTTTCGTCGGTTGTGAAGTTTCAAAATGTAAAGAACAATGTATATCTATAGGTTTGATGCTGTTGATATACTTATAGTGTTGTTTTCTCTTAAGCCAATTGAATTTCTTTTCGTGTGCAGTAACCAATCTGTTGTGGCAATTTTTAAAAGCAATGTTATGATGTTCGAAAATTCTATTCCACGCGAGTACAGGTAAACGATTAAATAACCCGCTGGTGAGATGAAAAATCCTATTTTGTAATGACTCTACCTGTCTATGCAAATCAAAGATTTCAATGCTCATCGCATTTGTTTTGAATTTGTACAACATACTATCTAGTCTTCTGATCGATCTGTGATGAAAAACGTTAAATTTAATGCGGCAAAAACCTTCTAAATGTGTAGGAAAAATATCGCCATTTTTACAATTTCTTAAAAATTCCAATTTTGCTCTCGCTCTTATTAACAAGTAATTCGCATTAATCCATTGTTTAAAATAATCTGCGGTTATTCTTCCAAAAACTCTATGAATAAAATTAAAATTAAAATAGTAATCAGTCCGTTTTGTGTTAAATTGACGCATTGTAAGGCCAGCGTATATTAAAAATAAATTAATACAATTGTCGCTCGTATATTGAAAACAAAGTGATAAATATAAGGCCAACTTATCGAGCTGAATATTCGAGATGTTCAGTCAACTACCATTTATTACATGTATAAATTATAAAACTACAGTCATTATATTAAAACTAACGCAAATTACAATCATTCTATAAACGTTTCGACCGCACGCGGTCTTCTTC